ATCATAGATTTCCATTAGATTAATGCCATTAGTACACCCAAAAAAGTATGCATTTGAACATGTTCATTACTGAATGTATCTGTGAACAAACACCATAAGTAATGCAAAACACACAAGATTGAAGTTTGTCACTTTTTTGTCAAAAAAAAAAAGGTTTGAAATCTGGTTTCGGGTGTCCCGACTAGCCTGAGAACTGCAATAAGTGACAGCCAGTTAATTAGCACCAAAAGAGCTAAAAAGAAGAGTGATGCATTGTGAAGTGAAAGTTTAAATTTTTTCGAATAGCGCTTCCTCCAAGCACATAACAGTGTGGATCTCATAATTGATGCACCTAATCTGCAATTAGTCAAGTGAAGTGTTTACCAACATGACAGAAAACTTAATAAACTGTGTCTTTAAATGTACACAGTGTGACATGCTTCAGTCTTTCATTGTGTGCTTGGCATAAGGAGTAATTTTAGTGTTGTTTAGTTTGTTGTGCTCTCAGAGTTTGGTTGTGTCCATTCAGTCCCTTCCACCGTTTCATGCCATGTGCCCTTTCGGTGCAGAGACAGTGAAAGCCGTCTCAGAGGTCACCCAGCGGATCCAGGACAACGCTCGCAGCCATGAGAACCACCTGCAGCTGCGCAGAGTCCAGAAACAGCTGAAGGGCCGAAAGACCAGAATCCTGACTCCAGGTTAGAGACTGTGATCTTCCATTCTTTTTATCTCCCAGAGCTCCGTGGAGAGCCAGAGAGTTAAGCGGATGAAGGAGGTCAGGTGGAAGAGTGTGGAAAAGTAGTCTTGTTTAAAAGAGACCCAGCTGTTTGCCCATAATCAATAGAGGCGATAGTGGGCGGTTTTGTTTTCGCCAGCCACAATCGCAGTCTCCGACGAGAGAATTAACTGAATTTATCGACAAGTTCTCACCGCTAATTGGTAATGGAAGGGAAGTGTGCCTTATGTCAGTTCTTTCCATCTTTCTTCTCTTGTGCTACTTGTGGAGTGGAGGTCCTTTCTTCCTTCTTATTTATCCCAAGGGAGAATGCCCACGTGTGAAACAAAAGAGAAGGAGATGGAGAAGGAAGGGGGAGAGAGAGAGGGCCTTGTCGTGAATGCCTTGGCCTGCCAATCTCCCCCAGGACCAATTAGCGCCTCTCCTCATCTTGTGGGCCGGCAGATAAAAAGGAAGCTGGGAGAAAGGGAGCGAGAGAGAGTGTGTGTGTGCACAAAGGTGGTTGGGAGGCTGGCGATGAATACCCAACGAGCACTGGGCTCATTTCACATAGCGCCGGATGTAGGAAGAGTGTAAAAAAAACCTCTCATCCTGTTTTTCCAGGACTCTAGAATTCTACCGAGGTCCTTTCTCTTGTCCAATAAGGCTTCTTTTCTTCCACTTGCACTTTTTCTGACTTCAGAAGGCCAAACCGAACCAGGCCATCCCAGCTTATCTCACCCAACCCCTCCATTTCCTCAGATGTGCCCTAACGAAAGTGATGCTTGACAGATGAGAGGCTTCGGAGCCCCTGAACAATATTAAGTGGTCGGCTTGGAGATAAGGGCAGTGTAATTCTCAGACGCAAAGCTTGAATCAATGGGACATTGATACGGCAGACAGACTGTCTGTTTCCTTGGAGTCCTCGGCAGGACATTGCTGCCACCACAGCTTTCCAAGTGCCAAGCCGAAACTCTCTGGCCTACAGAGCGTAATAGAAAGACGAAGAGAGAAAGATGAGACCGTTCCATGCCCTTTGGATGACATACCCCCCCCCCTCCCCATTGGTCAGTTAAGTGCAGATCTTTTATGCCAGAAACAAACCACCAACCAGTAAAATCATCAGCTAACACGTTGAAAGTGTGCTACTCAAGGGGGCAATAAAGTTACATTCAAATATTTGTGCCATTAAAGGGATAAAAATGGTGCTATAGGGAGACGCAGAGGAGACAAATTGTTGAAAAAAGTTGTAATTTTTTGTTTTCTTTGCACACAAAAAGTATTCTCGTAGCTTCGTAAAGTTACGGTTGAACCACTGATGTCACATGGATTATTTTAACGATGTCGTTGCTACGTTTCTGAGCCTTGATCATGTAAGGATCCTTGCTGTCTATGGAGGGTCAGAGAGCTCTCGGAATGCATCAAAAATATCTTAATTTGTGATGAACGAAGGTCTTACAGGTTTGGAACAACATGAGGGTGAGTAATTAATGGCAGAATTTTAATTTTTGGGTGAACTAACCCTTTAGTCCAGATGTGTTATTGTTCAGGTAACTTGTATTTCTCTGCCATAACAGTTGTTGGCCTAAAAGAGACAACTGATTTACCAATTACCATAATTACATGATTCTGACTTTGATAAAGGACTCAGATGTCAACATAAAAATTACAACTTGTATACTCTGTATGTTCAGACTTTACATCCCATAATTACGGTAATTCCGACATGACGTGTATGCACCGCGAATATAGAAGACCGATTACTCCTACTTGCGGCAATGAATCCAGCATTGTGTAATAGTAAAGCTTGCATTGCCTGCACAGTAGAATATGTTGCGGCCTTAAAGTCACAATTGTTCGTACAATCGAGTAACCTGAATCAGAACAAAACTTTAAAAAGAGGGCTCCTGAGCTTTGAATACTGTAGATGAACACCTGAATCCCCTTTTAACTAACATGAAAGGGTAGCCTATCCAACAAAGCCTTCTCAAAATTAACAATGATCTGACTTGCCATTCCATCACTTTCAAATAGAGAAATGCTTTTATGTGTCTCTGGGTCTTTGGCTTGGTCACATGAGGAGGACCCCGGCCGCTTTGTAGTGCAACCTTTAGCACCCTGCAAACCACTAGGTCCTTTGTAGCTGGGCAGAGGTGCTCTTTGACAGGGAAAGTTGAAAGCGTTCAACATGAAGAGGGGATCTCCAAGTTCCTGCTCTTTGAACTGAGCCGATGAAGCCTTCCTTTTGGATATGTCAGTCCAAACCAGTGACGGGTATTTGAGGCATACAGATTCACATTAAACAGAACCGGGGGTTCTTTACCGATATACCTGTGGACAACTTAATGTTTTTGGCTCTGGGTGTCTTGTTATTGAGTGTGTACACTTGTTAGCATTGTGGATGTGCAACCGAAATTGTCAGGCATGACTATCCTGCATGATCCAGATAGAACTTGACCATGTAAATGCATGTTACTAATTTAAAGAAGCCAAAGAAACCATTAAATCCAATCTGCACATGTCGCCCTGGAGTATCACAGAATGTGTCTTCGTTGTTGCCTCATATTAAACCTGTGGCATTTTTAAAAAGCGGTTTGACCCCTACTTGACCCCTCTGCTAATCATAGAGTGCTTGTCTGTCGCTCAGAGCATCCATTTTGAGCTCCACGCTCTTGCTATCGCCAGAGCTTCAATCACAAGGTTCACTGGGGCAATTAAGGAATCAGTAGCAGGAATGAAATTTCATCTTATCTATCCAAATGTCAGCATCTAATTTAGTTTCCATCATGCAGCTGCCAATCACTGAGAAGGGAGATTGGTCGTCTCTTTTCCGTCTCAAGTCATGTAAACCTTCTGCTTTTTATTCTCTGCTTGAAATTGACTTTTTAGGTAGACAATAGGTAAGTCCTTCATCCATTTCCCTGTTATCTCTTCTTGTCGTAGGGAGGCGGTACATTCGGGAAGGCTGGCTAAAGACAGTGCCCCCTAAAGGCACGGAGGCAAAACCCAAGATGTTTTACCTGTTCTCTGACATCCTGCTCCAGGCCAAACCATGCAGTCCCATACATCCTTTCAATGGGGATAAGTTTGCCTGCCAGCAAATCTACCCATTAAAGGAGTGCACAGTGGATAAAGTCTTCGGCCACACCAAAAGCCAGGGAGGCCTTATTAGTGTAAGTTAAAACAGCTATATTTACAATTCAGATGGATTTATTGTTGTTCATAATTCAGTTCACATATTTTGGAATGATTCATTTTTATTTTCATGGATGTTCATAAATTTGAAATGTGTTGTTCCTGACCCACTCACTCCACTAAAAGTCACTGTTCACACTTTTCTTAGAAATCAGCTTACTATAGGCATGCTTATGATTGTCGCATTTTGAGGGATAATTGTCAAAAATATGTTTTATTAAAAATACTAACATTTCATCTCCATTAAATGTGTCCACACCAGAGGTAGACTGGGGATTTGGGTGAACTTAAAATGATTGAATGCACAGTACATTGGATATTATTGTAGTAATTATAATTGATTTTTAGATTCTGTAATCGATGCATTAAATTTTAATTGGTGGATCAATGCATTCTTACAGCCCCAAGTATTTGTTTTGGGCAATCTGTGGAGTATAACACATTTTATCCATTAAAATTCCTCATAGGCACTCTTCAAATCCATCAAATATATTTGAACCGTATGTCCCTCCCCACACTTATTGTTCTCAGAATGACTTGATCTGCAAGTTAGCAAAAATTATCAATTTATCATTCTCCTTCTTGCGCTAATTACTCGAGTTCTTCATAAGGCTTCAAGTTTTAATGTCTCCACATGGCTTGATCTCTTTCCAGGTCTCTGTGCTGCCGCTGTGTGACAAATTATGTCTAAACGATCTCCACACTCTCATGAAACATTCAGATGAATGTATCGTACACCACAAAGGCATTTATTCCATGTGGTTTAGTTGGTTATAAAATAGCATAAATCTAACTAATATACAATTATTACATATACATACTGAGATTCATACTCATTAACTACATAAATACAACCTAAAGATGTAGTATATATTACTTTACAAGTTGTTGAGCATTTCGTAAGATTTAAGGGAGCTAGTGGTCTCGGAGCTACTAGACTATCATGTCACAGGTATGCTTTTTTTGGCACATGGAATAGACCTAAAAAGGCCACCTGCTCTAAAGAAGTGTGGGAAGGCGCTCGCATCACTCCATCAGATTAGATCACAGATCCATCTCTTCTGCTCGGCCGCTGAATGCATCTTCCCGAAACCCTGTCAGTGCTCCGCACTCCTCTCCTCTCCTCCACCTGGGCTGTGGTCGAGGCTGCATATTATCTAATGGCTAGAAATGGCATTTCATTAGCCTGTTATCCCACAGAGGCCTCAAATGCATACTCAATAGCATTAGGTGTAATTTCTCATAAGGACACATTATTGATCCCGGTTCCACCCGCCTCCCACCTGGACCGAAGGGGAAAGAGGCTGTCAGCACTCTCTGGCCCCTCCCCAGCCGGGCCGTGAAGAATTAAAGCAAAATTAAATTTGACAGCTGGAAATGCCATGGCAATCTATATGCAAAGTTTGAAAGTAGTAGTAGTAGAGGAAAATGCGCTATGAAAATTTTGGCTCCCTCTCCCCTATCCATTTGTCTAGATGAGAGAGTGTTTGTATACGGATAATTTCTTCCCTCCTTTTCTCTTTCTCTCGCATTTCCCATCTTCGCACCCCCCTCCCTTTTCGTCTCTCCATCTTCCTCTCGTGGCTCCCCGTCTTTCTTCCTCCACCTCCTTGAATATTATTCTGCATCCATGACGATTCCCTTTGATGTATAAATAATCAAGTGAAATTATGTGCGTCGAAGAGTGCTCCGCCGTTCGTATTATACAAAGTAATTTCTACCTAAGAGGGTCAGATTTCCTGACAAATCCCTAATTACCGCATCGCAATAGAAGTGGAATCTATTTGTGCATAAATCAGGCCACCCGTCCCCCCATGCGGCGGACCCCTAATATCGCGCTCCGCTTTGCCTTGCTCGCTGAACTCGGTAATTAGATAATACTTTTGATGATGGTACATTTGAAATCTTAATCTATTTAATACCTAATGAGAAACAAGCGCACCAGCCCCCCCCCCGCCTCCTTAAAATATAACCAGAGCGTCGTTGCTTTTTACCAGGTGTCCATTAAAGACCCGGCTCCACTCATCATTACGATTCCGTCCCCAGTCGTAATAAAGATTAGGCCTGATTATTGATATGCTGTCGGTAACTGCTGCCGTTTCCTCCACTCCGGCAGCCTCAGGTAAATGTGAAAGGTCATTTAATATTTTCAAGGCCCCAATTATAATCCACTCTAATGGGTCCCCATTGTAATTATTCTGAGGATAAAGCCTCTGCCTTTGTTTGGGGTTGGATGGTTCCCGTTGTCTTGTTTGACATGTGTAATCTAGCAGTAAAGTCTCCTCAGTGCGGATGAGTGATGGTAATTGCTGTTGACTCAAGGATGAGCCATCTGACGGGAGGCGGAGAATGTGGGCCGAGCTCAGAAAACTTGTCCTCCAAGTGCAGATCATTGCCAAATTAGCAGCTGAGAGCATCAACTGGCACATCTGTGCGCCTTTGGGCTCGAGTGGCGAACGTGTTGCTTCCTCTGCAGCTCCTTCGTGGTTCTCATTTTCGTGACCTATTTTGCATCAGATTGAAAATCAAATCATTAAATGCATTAAATTATCTACTAATGTTATTGACAATGTTCTTTAATGTTTTGTGAGGTGGATTAAAGTGTCTCACCCTCAATGCTAAAATGTTAAAATTCATCTTAAGGCCAGTTAAGCCTTTAAAATGCCTAATTGTGGCCGTTCGTCCTGTACATCTATAGGCTATATGCCTGAAAAACTGAAGTCAGTACTGTGAATCATAAGATCACAAATGTTTGAGATTTTGAGACCATGGTCCATGTAAACACTGGAGGCAATGCTAACAAACTAGTTCATGGACGCCCTCTAGTGATCCAAAGGAATTATGTGCACAACAACATATGTTGGTTTTTTGAAAGACGTTTTTACCATTTTCGAGAGACGTTTCAGTAAAGGCAATATAATTTCATTATACCTTAAATACATGAGAGTGTACATAGTTTAATTTTGTTTTTTTTTACACACATACAGTGTATGTATGTATAGACATATTGGTGTCTTGGCTTTCCATGCCTTTTTTGCACCTCCCTTTCTTCATGTGTTCAATACTTTTTCCCCTGTGTCATTCCATTTTATTACACATGCTGAATTTATTTGTTTTGTATGTATAGATTACTTGGGTTGTTACAGACATCTGGTGAAAATTTCATGTCAACAGCACCTTTAGAAATATATTTACTGAGAAAAATGGTGACGGGTATATATATATATATATACACACACACAGTAACATGGTGAAGAATCACACGACAAGTAATCTCAATCAATACCCCAGAGGGTGGATTTATTGGGGTGATGGGTGTTCGTGAGAAAGGTCCAGGTAGGTGCTCCGGTGCCATGAGTGCTCTCTTCCGTCTTCCCAGTGCAGAGGGTCCGTGCAGTGCTCCTGTGGGGCTGGTCGGTCACACGCTGCTTTCTGTGGGAAAAATGAGAGGGCGAGTTAGTGCTCAGTCTCATGGAGGAATCTCCTAGATGGCAGGGCATGCTTGGTTTATGTAGCCGCCGCCTGAGGTGCGCAGCTGTGACCGATCAGCCTGTGATGGCCAGGTACTCCTCGCTTGTTTCCAGGGTGACGCTGATGAAGCTTCGGGACGCTCGTCACACCCCTGGCGGTGTCCGGATGTCGTGCTGCAGGACGTTGGTCCGCCCGGGAAGAGAGGAGAACACATCAGAGAACTGACCGACCAGGTACTGCAGCTCCCTCTTCTGGGCAGCCGAGAGGTGGGGGTTGACTTCAACAACCACGGGATCAGAGATGGCGAGGGCCGCGAGCTGGTCTCTAGTCCCCATCCACTTCTTCAGGAAGTTAATGTGGTAGAGCTGCTCGGCTCTCCTCCTTCCTGGCTGAAGCACCCGGTACGTCACCGTATAGGGACCCTGCCAGGTGGCCAGGAATTTGCAGGCCGCATTGGGGACTAGGACCATGACTCGGTCTCCGGGCTGAAACTCCCATGGCTGGGCTGCCCAGTTATAGTGACGCTGTTGGGCCTGCTGCGCCTTTGTCAGGTGTTCCCGGACTAATGGCATGACCCGGTCGATCCTTTCCCTCATCTGTTTTACATGCTCGATGACAGAGCGATGGGCTGCCAGCTGCTGCTCCCAAGCTTCCTTCGCCACATCCAGGAGGCCGCGGGGTTGCCGGCCAAAGAGGAGCTCGAAGGGGTGAAGCCAGTTGAGGCCTGTGGGACTTTGCGGATCCCGAAAAGGACATAGGGGAGCATCAGGTCCCAGTCGCGTTTATCCTCCGCGACCACCTGTCTCAACATCTGCTTGAGTGTTTGATTGAAGCATTCGACCAGTCTGTCAGTCTGGGGATGGTAGACCTTCTTCGGCGGCCCCCTCCTGGGCTGGCAGGCTGCATAGCCGTGGCCAGCAGGTGGTCAAACCCTGGCCAGTCTCTCCCGATCAGCACGGGGACGGGAAGATCCTTCATGACCCCGACTTCCACCGGCCAGGCGCCGGGAGCGGCCGAAATGGTCACCCTACGAGTGAGAACTTGTCGTGTATCCCCGTGGACACAGGTTATGGGGAGGAAGGCTTTATATTCCGTTCGGGGGGGCGAGAATCTGCGACTGGACCAGAGTGACCGCACTGTCTGAGTCCAGGATGGCCCGGAACGGCTTTCCATTCACTTTCACCTCTGGAGCTCCAACCGGCAGGTTGTGGTGCACAATGCAGCCAGCCAGGTCCGTGCGGGACGTGCGGGGACTTCCGTTGGCATGGGCTCATCCCGCGGAGAGGGAGCCGCCGGCCTGCCTACTGGTCGCGGGGTGCCCTCCGGCGCGCACCGCTCCTGGACCACCCTCCGGGGAAATGGCGGCGCTCGCTCCCCAGCATCCCGGTGTGGGGCCGCATCCACCAGCTCAGAGGTGGTGGTTGGGTTCCTCATCCCCACTGCCTGTCGGGAAGGGCTCGGAGGATACGGTCAATCACCACGCGCTCCGCCACCTGTCCAGCCTATAGAGCCCCCTCCAGCAGTCAGTGCTGCATGAGTCGTGAGTTCGGCGGCCTGGGCACGGGCCGGCAGACGGGGCTTATACTCTCACTCGTGGAAGTGCTGGGCGGCACAGATAGGGGATAACCCCAGGCGGGCTAGGATTTCCTTCTTGACCTCCTTATATTGATCGGCAGAGGCGGCAGGAAGAGCGAAGTATGCACGCTGTGCTTCGCCCGTCAGCAGGGGAGCCAGCACCCGTGCCCAGTCATCCTGATGCCACCCTTCCAAGGTGGCCGTCGCTTCGAACATTTGTAAGAAGGCTTCTACGTCATCATGAGGGGTCAGCTTGGGTAGCAGCTTTGCGGCTTGCACTCGGGGGTCCGGCAGCGGAACGCGTCGAGCGGCGGCGGCACGCAGTGCCACGAGTCCCTGCTCCGTCGCTCCTTGACAGGTGGCGAGGTGCTCAACAATTTGTTGCTGGCGGATGCTAACCTCGGTGAGCCACTGGAGGATTCCGTCCATGGTGGGGGAGGAGCGCTCGCCTGTGACAGAAACCGGAGACAAAAACAAGGAAAAAAGGTGAGGTAAAGATTGCTTGTCGGTGATTCTTCACCAATTCGCCTGCATTCTCCACCAGTGTAACGGGGTGAAGAATCACACAACAAGAAATCTCAATCAGTACCCCGGAGGGTGGATTTATTGGGGTGAGGGGTGCTCGTGAGAAAGGTCCAGGTAGGTGCTCCGGTGAGAAGCAGTTTTGTTAAACTTGACATTCATGTGGTTGACAAAGTTTTTTCAAATATTAAGAAGCAGTTTTGTTAAACTTGACATTCATGTGGTTGACAAAGTTTTTTCAAATATTAAGAAGCAGTTTTGTTAAAATACATAATGCCAACTTTTAAAAATGTTTGTAATTTTTTTAATGAAGCTTTTTTTTCTTCATTATAATATCAGGACGTCGCTGATATTGTGCCCCACAACAAACTTGAGTTTATCAAAAGTTGTTTTTAATTCTGTAATTTAAAGCATGGTCATCATAGAAGAGATGTATTGCATTTTAATGCATTTCTGGATAAATGATTATATGATATGAGCGTCTTTCATTGATCCTTATGCCTAAGAGACAAATGTTTGATCAGATGGGAAATGTGAGAGAAAGAGAAAAGGAGGGAAGAAATTATTCATATACAAACACTCTCTCATGTAGACAAATGGTACCACCAAAATCACCACTTTTCAGTGTCCTTCACCAGTTTCTATAATACATAAACTCTCATTCTGTCAGGACCACTATCGTCGAAGATGATTGACAATTAGCATACAGTTTGGATTGGTGGTATGGTTCTGTTCTGGGCAAGAACTCCCTTTGCATCCATGCAGCCTAGCATGGATGAGAGCAGGAAGAGCAGCGATAACCCCACCAGGGTAAACAGAACAGAACCAACATAAATGCATTGCAGATATCGTTAAAGTTCAATAATGTTATGTATACATTTTAGAATTAGTCTGATTCAAAGGAGAATCAGAAGGCTGAATCCTGACTGACAGAGGAGTTGGGGATGGAGGAGGGTAATTAGCTATTGAGCAATGTGAAAACTGCTGATAATACTGAGGGACCTTATATATGAATGCTTAGATAGGTGTCGTATTCCTATAGGTAGATGGGGATCAGCTGAGAGTCAGCTGATGCGAGCTTGACTAACGTGACCTGTCAGAACTAACGCTACACTAGATATCTCTTCCTCTAACTGAATATTTTCTCTCTTCTAGTTGACCTTTGCCAGGGCCAAACTGCTTCTAATGTCCGATGATCAGGGAGACATTAATGATTGGTACCGTAGCCTCTGCTTGGCTATTGGGTGAGTCTATCTGTCCACACGGGGATACTCAAAAATCAGCTCCTAAAAAACCTAAACATTTTAGCTTACCAGCCCTAGAATGTCACTCCACCCAGGTTTTGAAGGTAAAACAACAACACAGCTCATAATCATCAGCCTTTTATGCTGTAGTCAGTGTTAGCATAACATCAGTGCCCTTTACTCTCTCACAGGACCTGAGGGCAAGGCGATGGTTGTCATGGGGCGAGCTCGTCACAGGGGACAGTCCCAACTCTCAAGGCTAGGCTAATTAGTTTAGCACTATCTGAGTGATTGGGAGGGACAGACTGTCACCTTGTGCCATCTTCATGGGCGGGTGGTGGGAATTTTGTAATTAATATTCTGATGATTGTGTATTTTTGTGTAAGTCCTGCCCTTTAATTATAATTATTTTAATATTAAAACATTTTAAAATAAAAAACTTTTTACATTTTACCCTCGTTTTTTTTTTTTTTTTTAAATGCATGTATATTCTTTTTGTTTTCTTTGAATTCAGCTTTCTATATTATCAAGTCAGCTGTATTACCTTGACATTTTTTACTGTTTGCCACCTTTAAAAAAATCTAAATTATTTTTCATTCAGAAAATGACATAGAAGAGGTGTATTCAAGTCATTGCATTAATAATGTGAATTGTTTGTTAAAATATGTCATGCATTGACCATTATACCTAAGAGACAGATGTATGTTCAGTATACATTTTGTCCTCGTTTTATAAAAATGTTTTCCTTGAGGTCCAGAAACCTAATTTAGGGTTTCCATAATTCTTAGGCTATTTTGCATCTTCTGTCTGAACCGTATAATTAAGCAGGTAATTTTTCATTACTTTGCTGCACTCATTTATTACTTGCTCGCAGGTCCAATATAATTTTTAAGCATCCAATCCTTCAACAGGTTTAATAGAACAGGTTCACAAAACAATCTGCACTGGCATACAGTGCATAAAATGTTAAGATTGGACTGAAAAAATCAGGGACCATCTTAAATATAAATCTAAACTCCTGGATATGCAGAGCTGTAGGTGCTACACAAGGCCTCGGACAGTCATTATTGCAGTTTAGTTTCAATAAATGTTCTTTTTGAGTTTTGAAAGTTTAAACAGTATGTTTAAATAGTGTTTGTTGACTCAACTGTTTAATTGAATGTTTAATAGAGTTTTATGGTATTGCAAAAGATCAAGCAAAATGTATCATTATTTGCCCCCTTTAAATTATGGGATCCATTACTCTTGTGTCCTTTTATAATTACCTTCATATTTGACACAAGCCATGTCACCGATCCGTGTCACATGACTTACAATTGCCTTTCTGATTCTATTCGTTCCCCTCCATGATTATCTGTGATGCAAATGTAATCGTTTCCTTTCATGAATCACTATCAGATTCCCGTTATCGATACAGTATTATGTTATTGCTATTGCTTGTGGTTGGGAAATATAATCCATGATCTTATTTTCAGTTGTTGCATACCAGTAATCTTAATGCCACTGATTATTGACTTGAAGCAAGACCACAAACATATCGAGGCCCTTAAGGCCGCCTGAAACTTAAGAGCTTGTCATTCCCTCCAATTTCCTTTGCCATATGCCTAGAAATCAACATCACTAAATCAGTGATTCAAATAAGTTATATATAATATATTTTCCATCTGAGTGGTTTTAATTGTAGTATTTGTGATGTTTCTTTTTCCTCACTTGAGGAATATTGTAATACAAGATGAATATGGTTTAGGTTTCACCCACATGCATGCAGATACACACCAATACTAGTTGTTGGCCAGGGGACTCAATCAGTTTGCAATCGATGGTTTCAATGACATGAGGTGAAGGCGGCTGGAGCCATATGACAAAACTGAGCGTCTCTCATCGAGGCAGATCCGCTCAACTCTATGGTCAGATAGAAGTCTCCTATACAAACCAAATACTTCCCTTTCATGTCACCAGAAAAAAAACACACACAAATATCCTGTGCTTTAGACACAGTGTCTCCTGTGTTGGATCAAAAAAGACGAAGGAAATGATCATTGTTTTAGAGGACTATAATTCAGAACATTTTTGAGTTACTGTATATTCACCTAGTTTTGATTTAGTTGCTCTTTCCCGGATTCAAACACTTTTGTCTCTTTCTTTCTTTTTCTTTCTTTCTTTTTCTTTCTTTCTTTCTTTCCTTTTAAACCTTATATTTTGTTGTTGATGATGGATTGTTCTTCCTCTACATGCCAGATCTCCAGAGCAAAGACATCCATAAGCATCATGTACTTTTAAGTTTCTTAAGGAGAACAGAAGCAGTAGGGGGGGGAATGAAATACATAACATTTCCGTGTTCTCTGGCTTACCTTTTGACTACTGGGCAATAAATCAGGTCTTATCTGAGTCTCTGGCACGCTTCTTCTGGAGGGCTGCCCTGTTTAATTGCTCTGTAACTGGAGTTGAAAGGGGACGGGGTGGCTGATGCTAAGGCCAACGAGGGCTCGCTGACCTCAATGCTTTCGTAGTTTGGTGACAATTTGAGATCTGTTCCTGCAAGCCTGTGTCTGATTTAGTTTGCACGTGTCTGCTCAAATAAGCACAGTAAATATCATTTTTAAAGTGCTGTAGGTGTTACTTCCAAATGCATGGCATTAACTTAATGGCAAATGGATCAATACTAAAGTTTTTTTGAATATTTGACTTTTTACTTTGCTTTTAAATTGGACCAGTAAGAGTTTTGCACAGGAAAGAATCTCCTAAATCTAGTGAACAGGTTCTTGTTTAGACTTCAGCTCAGTCTTTTTTTGCAGGAGTCTTGTCGGATATTATGTTGTGGTGACGTCACTATGATACACGATTCACACGGTTATTTTTGAAAGCCAAGAGAACAAGGTCTGCCTGTATCTTTTTTTGTGATTCTGAAATGAAAGTAGCAAGGTGTTCCACAGTTTTTTGTGGTTTCTTCTCATAAAGACCTTCTTTTAGCTTGTAATGTTGCTTCATGAATCTGCAGGAAGGAGATTTAAGCATAAATGTTTAATACTCAAGCACTTCAGACTTTCCTTTTAGTGTCTAAGAAATTAAGGAAGCAAGATGTGTTTCAGTGACTGAATAAGTTTGAATTATGTTCAGAAATATACTGTGGCTTCATGCATGAATAACACATCGTGATTCTCCATAATATCTACAAATCTGATGCCTTGCTCTTTCAGTTGGTGTTGATTTAAGGTAAATTCCAACCAAACAGCATCCATTGTGGGGTCGTGCACTGTAACAACCAGCATAAGCGGCAAATAATACCAAGATTAAAGGCTGCATTTAAAGTGGAATGCATGGCAGGTAGAAAATAAAAATGTGTTTTTTTTTGTACATTTACTTTATTTTGTACATTATATATTTTGTACATTAACATATTGCTGTGTATTTACATGCATGTCCACTTGAAATCTCAGCCTTTACTCTTGCCATTGGTGATTCATTTGTGCGGTTTATGCTGTTTGTTGTTGTTCGGTTGGAACTTGCATCTTACCTTAAATCAACACCAACTGAAAGAGTGGCTGAATGATTTGCGATTTCATTATGGTGTACCTCATTGTCAAACACAGTCACCGGTCTCTTGTTTCTGTTTTGGAAATGGTGCATTAACACTCTAAAACACAAGGCCCTGGCAGAACAACACGTGCTGTTGGCTCTGACAATCCCTCTGCTTTTGGAGCATTTCATGTGCAAGGACTGATGCATTAAACACTAGCGTGCTTACCATTCTTTTCTTGTGAAATGTGTCTGAGGAGCTCCGTGGTGATTTTAAGACCATTTAGTATATAGTCTTGGAGACATGTTTGGCTTTTCAAACTGATCTTACATTACAGTTTTGGAGCTCACGTGAAGAAAAGAGGAACAGACTGTCTGGCGCTGTTTACTTGTTGAATGTTTTCTTGACTTGAAATTGATTGTTTTAAATGTTTTCAAAGTTTTTTTGTTCTCGTAGTGATTCATTAGCATATACATTGTTTTTTTGTGTGTTGCTTTTGCTTTTCTTTACTTTGTTTTTGTTTTGTTTGTATGTCAAAGTATTCGTTTTTTGTTGTTTTGTCATTCTTTTGTTTTGCTTTACTTTATTTTTGTCTTCCTTTTTGCTTTGCTTTATTTTTGTTTTATTTGTATGTCAAAGTATGTCTCTTTCTTTCTTTCTTAACAATATTAAAAGAAAGACTTACTAAAAATTATAATATGAAAACGGTGTGTTGTTGTTTTTATTCCTTTTTTATATATTTTTTTCTTTTTAAAAAAACTTTTTGAATTTTCATTCATCTACTGATTGATATTTAATCATAAAAATATTATGTACTGTTGGTCCACAACCACAAGTCAAAGACCATAGTGAAAAAAAATAATAATAATAATAAATATATATATATATATATAAAAAAAATTTTTTAACTCCTTTATTTATTTATTTTTTTAATTAATCAGTAATGCATATAATATGCATTATTATTATTATTTTACATTTTTTAAAATTATCTCTCATACTTTTTTGTTTCTGTTTCACACGTTTTTATGCCACTTTCTTAACCCTACAATTCATATGTGTGTCTAAATTAAATGTTAAATGGAAATATTTTAATTTTATTTTTTATAACAAGTAGTGTTATTTCGTCCTGTAATTTCAGCCCCACATACTGTATACATTTTAAGGGGGGAAATTAAGTTGCATTATATTAATTTTTTTAATTTTTTTTAAAGATCATTTTAAAAAATCATTTTTGGCTAAACTGTACCTCTATGCAGCAAAGCTGCACACAGTCATACCAAAAAATGGCTAAAAATGCAAATAACATGTTCAAATTCAGTTGTCTCCATCAGTTTGTGAAAAGTAGTTAATACTTTTTTGGATTTAATCTCAAAACCGCAGTCGTGAGCTGGAACATTTTTTTTATACAAGGTACAAGTATAACGCGTCTCAGTGTAACACGAGCTGGAGCTTGAAGAGGTGGTCTGAGTTTGTCATCTGTATTAAAATGTCAAGATTAGCATCAGGTATGACATGAAAGAGGAGCTAATGATGTAGTTTTCATACTCCAGCTTCTTGATTCCTGTTTAAATGACTGATCTTAATGTCTTCCCTGGTTCGGTTGATGACGGATGGTCTCGTTTTCCATCCCAGGCAGCTGAAGTCAAAGAATACAGTGGTGCACAGGAGAGACGAGCTGCGCAGGAAGCCAATCAGATCGGAACCAGACAGTCAGAACACTCCAGAACTGCAGCAAACACGTGGAATAAAAAGAACCATGGTCGGTTGTTGTTTCATGTTTAATTACAATTCATGTAAAAAAATTATTAATAACTAATATTATTAGTTAATTAGATTATGCATAGGGTGTTTTAAAGGCTGAAGCTTTTCTTTTTTTACCAAATTAGTAATATGTATTTCTCTAATTTAATATGTATGTAATTTAACCCCTTATGTGCCACCGGCCCACAGGTGGGCCCAATGGCGCTCTTTTTTTTGTCTTTTTTCTCCATCACATATTTTAGTAATCATCATAAATTATATATCATTTGAAAGCTTAAAACCTCAGAATTCATCCTGTGAAAACATTTTTAAATCAGACATTGCTTTACCATGGAAATGGTACTTTTAAATCTTTTAGCGGTCTCCTCCCCTTAGTGGGTGGAGTCAAGTGTCATAATATTACAATTTAGACCTTCCTGACAGGAAAATGCATCAACAAAAATTCTACAGTTTGGATGGCACCCGGTGGCTGTTTGTGGTATAACGCCCTAAATAAAATCTCACAGGAACCTCAATTTTTTTTATATCAACTTCAAATTTGGAACATAACTTATTTAGACATAAGGCTTTAATTTTATATACATTTTGTAAAATATTTACTTTATATAAAATAAAAATTGGTACAGTGAATTTTCTTTACAGTAAATTTAAACTTCTATAACTTTTTGATACTTTAATATTTTGAAATGATTCCACTTGTCTTCTTAAAAAGTTCTCATGAATTATAATAATTTAAGTTTGAATAGTGCACTTTCACGTCTATGTTCAAGAGGGGGGGGGGGCACTTAAGGGGGGCACATATTTATTTATGTATGTTTGAAAACGTTTTATTTATTATCTGGTTTGAAGGGTTAAATCGCCTAAAAATTACAATTCTGTCATCATTTACTCACCCTCAAGTTGTTCCAAACCTGTAAGAGTTTCTTTCTTCTGTTGAGCACAAAATAAGATAATTTGAAGAATACTGGTAACCAATCATTTGATGGTAGCTATTGACTTCCATAGTATTTTTTTTCCATTCTATAGAAGTCAATGGCTGCCGTTAACTGGTTGGTTACAAGCATTCTTCAAAATAACTTATTTTATTTATTTTTTGTGCTCAATAGAAGAAACTACACAGGTTTGTGTAGTTACAGGTTTGGAACAATTTGAGGGTGAGTAAATAATGACAGATTTTTAATTTTTGGTTGAACTATTCCTTTTAAATTAGATTTAAAAACCTGGTTTTTCAAACTTTTGTACACCACTGTTCATAATCTAATTTAAATATTTTAAAAATGATTATTATTCTTGGGATTAGAAAAATAAACTTGTTTATTAAGGAAGAAATATGTAATATTTCTAAATATTGTGGGTAAAAAAAATTATATTTAAATAAATAATATAATACAAAAATGCAGAATTCACTATTTCTCATCCACTAATCATTTAAACTAAATTGTGAATATAAATACAGTTTTCATTGTTAATCTAATCATATAATTTATACTTATTTAAATTTTATATCATTTTTATTTGTATTAATTTATACTGTATGTTTTTACTTTACATGCACTTAAACATCTGTGGTTTCTCTAATGCAGATGTTGGATGAAGAGGTTCGGGAACACAGAGAGAACACAGATAGCAGCAGTTCCATCCCTTCAACTGGGGAAAGCGGCTACAGCGCCACCAAGAGGCTGAAGCCCAATCAAGCTCCTGCTGCAAGGTAGTTTCACGGCATCACTTCATGTTATCACACTCTGATAGAACAATACTGTTCCATCTCTGTTATCTTAACCAGTACAATATTTACCCAACATTTATAATATACAGCTTCTGTGACAATTCTCTTTGATGGTCTAAAGAAAAGGTCTTTTTATGCTGTGTGTATATAAAATATGTACCTGCAAAAAATTTGAATAGCATAATAACGCTCACATTGTTAATGCAGACCACAGGAGTCTTCTGGATCGAGCTGCGTCATACTGTGAGGAGGTTCATGTTCTGAAAAGAGCTGAAAGATCTGCCCACAGACGGAAGGAGCAGAGGTGATTTAGGATGAATGCAATGTACATCTACTACACACTGCTGCGTTTTTTCCATATGCCAAAGAATATACTGCAATGTAGGCTTATTGCTTTTAAGCATGTTTACTGTTCACATTTGAAAGGTTTTTATACTGAGATGTCTTACTATTTAAAATGCAGAATCACTCAGTTATCACCAATAATGGCCAAAATCTAACTATAAAGAAATACACAGACACAAAAACATCATGTATAATAACAGTATATTTATCTAGTCACACCAACTCTGAATATATATCACTATAGTGCAAAACAATGCTATTATTAGCACATTTTTAATATGAAATCATTTAGTGCAGTAAGATTTTTTGGTTTGCATGAGATTTTGCTCTGTTATACACTGGAACAAAAGGGAAAACTGCTTTTATATATACGGAATGTTGTTTTAATTATACTCTGCAATACTTAATGCAAATATAAATATTTTTTGTCTGCTTGTTTTAATCAAACTTTTACTCTTAGATCCATTTAGTGGTGTAATTGTTACTAACTCTGATATACTGGTCAATATTATATTTTGCATGTGAATGAATAAAAGCTCAGTGATTTGCTCTAAATATTGACAAGGTCTATTAAACCAGCGGTTTTAACTGTTCATGCTCTGGTCAACACTGCCCTCTTCTGGAACATTGCTGATCTCTCAAGTCTCACATGCATTAAAGCCAATGCTAGACTTTAAGTCTGGAATTGAAGTCTGTTAGAGAGAGTCGTTGTAACATCAGTCATAGATTTTTATTGGAATACAGGTATATTTAAGTATTATTAGGTCTCTATTTGTTCATGTTTACTGTATTTTTTATAGTTATTGCCTTGGTTTCCACATTCATGAAAAACCTGGAAATATAAGGGAGCTTGAAAACTGATTTCCAGGTCATGATAAAGTCAGAAATTTCTGTAGTAAATTATCTGTGTTCCTGTTGTCCTATATGAAATATGAAAGTTCAGTTGGCCGCATGGTGGCAGCACACTGCTTTTTTTTATTTCATAAAGTAGGCCACGGAAATAATAAAATCTGTGAAAAACTTTGCCCATTGTTATGCTGATCCTATAATTTCTAAAGAAAACATTTGTATTAAAAAAAAAAATTCTAGTTCTATTTTTTTATTTTTTTTTTGCCTTCATTACTAAGAATTATATTTTTGTAAGTAATTAAATGATACCCTGCACCTTTTAAACCTTATATTTTGTTGTTGATGATGGATTGTTCTTCCTCTACATGCCAGATCTCCAGAGCAAAGACATCCATAAGCATCATGTACTTTTAACTCAAAGTTTTTTTGTTCTCGTAGTGATTCATTAGCATATACATTGTTTTTTTGTGGGTTGCTTTTGCTTTTCTTTACTTTGTTTTTGTTTTGTTTGTATGTCAAAGTATTCGTTTTTTGTTGTTTTGTCATTCTTTTGTTTTGCTTTACTTTATTTTTGTCTTCCTTTTTGCTTTGCTTTATTTTTGTTTTATTTGTATGTCAAAGTATGTCGTTTTTTTTTTTTTTTGATGCAAGTTTTATACATTAAGGTTTTTGGCTTTGCTTTGTTTTGTTTGTATGTCAAAGTATTATCTTTGTCGTTTGTGCCTTTGTTTTGTTTTGCTTTTTATTTTTATTTATTTATTTATTTTGCTTTGTTTTTGTTTTGTTTGGATGTCAGAGTATTATCTTTGTTGTTTTTGACATTCTTTTGCTTTTTGTTTTTCTTTGTTTTGTTTGGATGTCAGAGTTTTATACATTAAGGGTTTTTTGTTTTGTTTTTGATTTTCTTTACTTTGACATGCAAACAAAACAAACATTACAAAGTAAAGTAAACTGTCTACATGGCAGGTGAAAAACTTTTTGAGAGGTTATATTTCATGCCATTTGTTTCTTGTCTATGGGATGGTTTATGTAAAAGTGGCACAGCTTACCCCTCTCTCCCATACATTGTTCGTACTGGAGAATACAAAAGCAGGACCTACTGTATCTTCATGCACTATGTGATAACTGAACCCTTGTCTCCCCTTTTGTTTCTTTGTCCTAGTTTTCAGCAAACAATAACTCCTCAAATCCAGATCTGTGATATTATTCCTGCTGGATTTTTTCAACACTATCATACGGTAAATCTGGTTTGTTACAGAATCCGCTTGGACGGGCCACTTCCTCGTCTGCCACCGGCTTCTCATTTAACCTTTTTTATTCATGTCAAAGGAACGTTTTGTTTCTGTCACAGTTCCTCTCTATTAATAATCCAGTCCTAAGCAAAGCAACATCCCTCAGATCAGATCCACATCTGCAGCCAACAGCAATGCCATTTGTCTTAGTCTCAATGCGAATCCCTCTGGTCCTTTTTGTAAATGTAATATTGTAGTTATAAAACCAAAACTGCTCATTTGTTGCCATGGCAGGAGCAAAATGAATTGATATTATGGATACTCACGTCAAGTAATTTCGGGTTTGACCCAAGAACCCCTTTGGTCTGATGTTATTGCATGCATGACACTGCATAAAATACATGCATCTCCCTGTAAACAAGAGCATGCTCTATTAATTTAAATGAATAGCGTTGAAAACAGAAATTAATTATTTTGATAATAAAATAATATTTAGTACTATAAAGAATGCTTGATTCTGATTGGTCAATCAGGAAATTCAGTGGTCAAATGCAACTGGTGCAACTTGCGTCCCAATTATCGATTGTTTGAAAATTAAATCAGACTTAAGTATTAATATTTCTGTAATGTTGGTGCATTGTTCATCTTGTTGCTTAACCAATTGATTTGTACATTATAATGATGATATTTTTTCTTAGTCGAAGCTTTAAGTTAATATGCAGGTAAGATTGTAAAATAATTTTGAAATTATTTAATATTTACAAATAATTCATAAAATAACTCGGATCAATGTCTATTTTCCGTGTATTTATTTATTTGACTGTACATAAATGATCAAACTTATGTAACCATCCAGAACTAACAGTTTTCTTCAGAATGTCAAAATCTAGTTCAGTTTCTGTATTTATTGAATTCACATTGAATGTTTTTGTTGTATTTGATCATTTTATATGTATTTTTCCATTCATGCAAACACTTTCATATAAGTGCACATTCACTGTTTGTCTGTAGGCATGTCTAAATATTGTCATGGTCATGGTAACTATCAGCTTGAATGCAGTGTCTAGCCGTCTTACAGATGATCACAGTGGTTGACCTTTCCAGCAAGTCTGTGATGACGTGTGCCAGTACTGCATGAACTCTGTGATACAGATGTCCCACAATGCATCGCTGGAGCATCAAAGAGTCAAAAGGTAGGTCAAGAGACGCTTTTAGATCATAGCAAGTGTGAGTATATTGAGGTCACATCTTCAAAGTTATATTCAAAGGTTTAAGGTTTTATTATGTTTATTTGTTCACCCAACAGCTATACTTAAAATAGAATGTTATATACTGCAATTGTAGCATTCAACCCTGGCCTATTCATGATTACAACACTCAGTTGCATAATTTTGGTGTTAAACTTCAAAGTAGTGATTCATGGCTGTTGGAAATACTTCATATGATAGTTTAAACATGACCAGGGACTGTTAGTAATGTACAGTATATGTAGGCCTTGACCCATTTGATAAGGTAATCTAACATTTTCTTCTGTAATAGTAACATTTACATTTACAAGACTTTGTAGTTTAACATGGCCTACGTTTTGTGTCACTGCAGTGCTAAATGTATACAGAAACTATCAGTATCTGGCGCTCTTTTGCTCTGAATGCCACTGTTCCTATTCGTGCACAGTTACGCAATAATCAGTGTAAAACTAAAAATAATTATTATAAAGTAATTGTAAATTGTTTTAATTGATTGTTTATTTATGTATTACTTTTTTCATGTTAATTCTGCACGATCTTTGCACGAAGAACATCAATTTTAACTACAATAGGTGAAAAAATATTTGTGTATTTTTGTAAATATACATGTTAGTGAATGTGTCACTGTATAAAACTATGTAGATTTGCACAGTTATGCAATAATCAGTGTAAAACTAAAAATAATTATTATAAAGTAATTGTAAATTGTTTTAATTGATTGTTTATTTATGTATTACTTTTTTTCATGTTAATTCTGCACGATCTTTGCACGAAGAACATCAACTTTAACTACAATAGGTGAAAAAATATTTGTGTATTTTTGTAAATATACATGTTAGTGAATGTGTCACTGTATAAAACTATGTAGATTATATGGTTAAAGATCGGCCTGGAGTTAATAAATGAAGCATTTTCCCCAAATGATAGCTGTAGGTTTAGCATGGCAAATTATTGTTATTTTTTTTTCATTTAATTTAATTTTAGTTTTATTTATTTATTTATTTATAATATTGGCAGAAAGCACAAAGAAGAAAAAATAGTCATTGCATTACATCAAGAGGACTTTTTGTCATTTTATGCTCTCCGAAGGGACAATGTATGTAGCGAAACTTTAAAAATATACTTTCCAAACTATCTTTTTCCCTTTTAAAATGGACACTGCCTTCATATAATATGCCACATATCATCTGGTAGACAGGGGGATTGTTCTCAGCTGTAGCCTGTAGGGAGTTCTGTTTGGAGAAAGGTTTGATGAATAGCACTCAAAAATGGGTTATGATGGCAAAATGCCCTGCCTTTGTGTATGATCTTGTGGTATTGCAGATAAGCACAGTTTTTATATATCAGACTCTCCATGGTCTTATTTGGGCTACTGCATTGCTACTGATGCTTTAGGCCAATCATATCAATTGGAGCCAGTAAGAAGCAACCCTGGTCTTGCAATGAAAGCCCATCCAAATATTGCAAGACCTGTCTCTCCCTTGTTTTGTTGAGTAGTCGGTGTCTAAAAACATCAGATGAGTCATGTGTGGTTTGTGAAGCTGGTTATGCCACAGCGCATGTTACACCTCTGTATTTTTGTCTTGAGTGTGGTCATTTTGTGGTAATGGCTGTCTAGTGCTTTGCATTATTACTGTGAAGTGTTTTTTACAAAGCATGATGTGAAATAATGGTATTTTTTATTGTAATTGCTGTGCAACCAAATGCCTGTGTTATTGGACTCTAAACAGAATCGAATCTCCTAACTGTGTAGCTTATTGATAGCTTAATAATTATATGGTATTATGAATTATAATGAAGCTATAACCCACTATTCAGTCTGCTCATCTTCATAAATTGAGTTTCCCGTTTCCTTTATCGTCACTTCCTAGCATTTTTTTGACATTCTGTGTGAGAGCGGTTATATCATGTTGAAATCATCAAGCATAAACAGACATCTCACTTTCCAGTCCTAACCCCTCATGCTATTTTTACAAATGTTTGTAATGGCGTACAGCCTGTTTTTTCTCAAGATTAACATCCACATTTGTTTTTGTAGGCAGGCTGGGTG